TGTTATGTGGGACATAGAGAAAGAGCTAAGAGTCCACGTAAGTTTACAAAGTTACCTTCTGGTTTTCTTCAATAAACAGAGTCATAAGAAAGGTAGACAGGCCTGGTACCAAGCAGCCTTGTGCCATAAACCCAAGCTTTAATTCTCTGAAGCAGATGATACTGTCTCCAGTACTCCAATTCCAGCTGGGAATTTTTGGCAGGAAAACCTGTTTCAGAATAAGAAATAGGTCAGGTACTGAGAAGGTACAGACCTCAAGAAAGCTTTTCTAGGTGGAGGCTTTTCTTTTGATTTATTTGAAATCATTGACTCTTCACTCTTGAGAATAAAAGTGGTATCAGGGTTAAAGGAAGAGATTAGAACAAATTCAGCTTTTGAAAGTGGTTAGTGCTCCTCTAGTGCTTCCAGTTTTTAAACAACAACTGGCTGGAGCTTTAAAACTCAGATTGAATGACTGAGATCATGAATTCTGACCATAGTTCAAGTCCCCAAGTGATTAACCATTTGAAAAAAGTTTCACATTTCATCTATTTTTGACAAGTCTTTTCTAATTTATAGCTCCATCAGATAGCAGAAACATTCTCCTAGCTCTAGAGACCTAAAGATGAGGAAACTCACTGCAATGTCACAGTACCTTGTTGTGGGACTCAAGGATCTGTATGATGACTCTGGTCTTTGGATAATAGTTTTTTATATACAGCACCGTGAAAAAAACATAGTTATACTCAATAGTCATATGCCATATTGGGTCTGAAATATAACTCAATTCAGAATTAAATTTATTTGTGGGTGAGTATGGGAAAACTCAGCACATTATAAAAATTTTAGCTTGTTTTCTAGAAGTGTTCTATTTAGTGGCATAATGTTCTGAAAAACATTCTATTTAATGACAGGCACAGAGAAGCGACATTGTTTAAGTGACTAAGTAACCAAATGATAGAACAGTCCGGTCTTAGTATTGGAGAACTGGCCTTTGAGAGTCCATTCACAAAGAAGACATAACAGTATCACATACCGTTAGCCTGTGGTCTATAGCTTGAAGTGGCTAATATATTGTCTGAATCAATTTTTTCATATTTTAGATTAATATCCGATGTTCATTTGTGGTATAATTTCCCAGCTGTTTCTTGCTCTGTGTAAAGTCATCTTCAACTTTATGCAAATCTATTTTGCTCTGGGAACAGAGCCACTAGTCTCGGTTACCATAAGTCAAATTTCTGCTCATAGATACTTCACTGTTAAAGTGAACTCTACCCATCTTGAAACTACTTGCCAATGGTCACAAGTACATTATACTGAATCCTGTATAATCTTTTCCCAGAACTACTGAAAAGAGATTCCAATAAATAAAGAGTACAAATGGAGTTCACAAATAGCATCTTTGTTTTCTAACATGAGAGGTTCTCACTTATGGTACTCTCTAAACACCAACCCAAAGATAAGGCTGGAAATGTAGCTCAGTTGATAGAGTGCTTGCCTGACCCACATGATAACCTGGGTTTGACCCCTACCACCATAAAAAATAAATAAGAAGGGCTTGGTTATGCTTGCTTTTTATATTTGGATAACTATGATCATAAGAAACAGCAGGAAAACATGGAGAAGATCAGGATGTCTTGTTTTCACTTCCTTTTGTAGTCTTTATCTTGGGTACATGGGAAAGCAAACAGGCAGAAACCTGGCACCTGGCAAGCCTGGTAGTGTTAGAGGGTTTTCTCTCACTGTGTCTTATATAACAGGCTTGCAGTTAGTCACTGAGAAAAACGCCATCAGTGGTGCAAACAAAGGCAATGCCAGCGCCTTACCTCTTGATGTTTGAAGTGTCCTCAGCATGCAGGTCACTGCACAAAGGGTTGGCTAGAATCAGGCAAGCTTCTGCATGCTCCACCTACTCTCCAAAATTAAACAGCAGCTGTCAGGTTAATTACATGGAAAATACTCTAAGTTTCCTCTTTGGGGCTTTTTATGGTGTCATTATACAATTGCCAACAAAAAGCACATTTAGGAAGGAGTTGTGAGTCAGACATCTTCATATCAAGTCCTGCAAATGGCTGCCAGGGCTCTGAAGGCTGCAGCCGATGGACAAGGGTACAGGCTCTCTTACATAAACCTAAAATTGCTTCACAATAGGTAGAGTATAAAATTGCACTTTCCAGGGATAGACAGGTGGCTCAGCTGTTAAGAACACTGACTGCTCTTGCAGAGGACCTGGGTTCGATTTCCAGCACCCACATGGCAGCTAACAATCATCTGTAACTCCAGTTCCAGAGGATCCAACGCCCTCTTCTGACTTCTCTGGGCATTGTATGGCACAGGTGCACTTACATGCAGGCAAGACATTCATACACATAAAACAAAAATTATAAGTGC